TCAATAAAAGTGACTTTTTTTTTTATCATTGTGTATAGAATTTTCTTCAATTGCTAAAAAAAAAAAAAAAAAGCAGAAACTCGAAAATGAAAAACCAACAAAAGCAAAGGAAAACATTTTCATCAATTTCCTGGAAAAAGTGGCGCATGGGTGGCGGCTGGAAAATATTTTCTATGTAGAATTTTTGGCATCAAATAGATGAAAAAGTAGGCAAAAGGAATTTTTTTTCCATTTTCTATGGAAAATGATTGTTATCAACACAGCCTAAATTATCTAAGGCTAGTCTTCAATTGTGGCCATTGCACTTTCAGTGAATATTCAACTGAGTTGTTAAACATTAGCTTGTCTTAATTGAGTTATAGAACTTAAATTTTATTTCAAGATTTACCATTTTGTCATGATTTGTACCCCAAAACGATGAAAAATTTCTTAATTGACATTCAAGTCGCAACGGATTTTACACATAATTATTGTGTATCGTGCCGATTGAATTATGTCGCGTCATAAAAATAATAGAATAAAAACACCATTTTTGTTATTGTTTAGTAAACCTTTGTTTCGGAATTGTTGTACATTGCAAAATCAACATTTTAGTGTTTGATAAATAAAATATTTATTATTATGTCGATATACCATTACTAAAATGGACATTGATTACAATAATGTCAATTTTATATTATTATTATTATCATCGATTGTAAAAATATTTCACTTTTATATTTGCGGTTTATTTGAGACATTGTACTCAATATAGTTAATTTATAAAATTAATATATGTTAATCTCAATTTTTTTAAAAAATTACAAGTAAAAGTACAGTCCATACAGTAAAAAGATATTAAAATGAATTTAAACGATGGAATGATGCGTTGTTACAGGAATATCTAGAACATAAAAGGAATTAATTTAATAAGTTGAGGTTAAAGTTTTATATAATTGGATGAGCTACAAGCACAATATATAAAGATATTGTTTTGTTGCTTCTCATAATGTGCTATCTGTTGTTGAAAATTTGATTATCTTAATCGAAAGAATAAATAAAATGAACAGAAAAATGAAATGCAGTAAATGAAGCGAGGTATGCCAAAATAAATCTCCTTAATAAGATTTCGCCCCCCAATAAAGTGCAAACGAGATTATGGACGTCTGTCTCCTAAGATAAAAACACAATATATAAAGATATTGTTTTGTTGATTCTCATAATGTGCTATCTGTTGTCGGAAATTCGATTATTTTAATCGAAAGAATAAATAAAATGAACACAGAAAAATGAAATGCAGTAAACGAAGTGATGTATGCCAAAACAAATCTCTTTAATACATATTTCGCGCCCAATAAAGTGCAAACATGATTATGGACGTCTGTCTCCTAAGATACAACGTTCTTTCCAAAATCGATACTGCACAATGCCAACATTGTCGATCGAACTAAAGAATGATCGTATTGGAACGGAATAACCACGAATATATTTGAAAGAATTTTTATAAACATAATTTGAAGAGAGAGTGAATTTAGAAATCGATGATATTTTAATTGATTAGGTATATTAAAAAGGAATCTGGAGGTCTCTATTTATAGAGATTGAAGTGTCTCATTAAATGAGTGTGTGATATTTCATGAACCGGTGCTCCACTTGGTCCAATTCGTCTCAACTATTGGATTACACCATTTCATGATCGACGGTCCAGATTAAACCATGAAATTTAGTGTCAATTCATCACACATATTCACTAATTTTACTGAATAGTCACCAGCCACAGATGCCACGCGCACATCCAATTGAACCACTGCCACATGTTACATGTGTGCCACATATGATGCCAACTTATCGAGCCTCTCGTTGCCATGTCATCGAACTATGAGTCCATTTCTGAAAATTATAAGGCTCCCAACTCTTCACGACAATGCCTCTAAAGCGTTAAATACGAACTTTGCGATGTGCGTGGGCAGGGCTAGGGTGGCGCAAGTGGTGCAACTCCAGCGGTCGCTAGTTCGCTAGCCTTTGACTAGCCAGAGTTAGCTAAGTCGTAAGTCATTTATTAAATTATAGTTTGTTCACATATTCCAGTATATAAACAAACATTTTTTCTTGTAAACTTTCAATGTGAGATTCCCAACCATATATAAGACACTTAAAATGAGCTGATCAATTTATGAGCCTATATTGGAGACTTTTCCAATTCACCCAAATTAATTGTAATGGTCGACATCATTAAATATCACATTTAATGATTTAACTGAATTAAATTTAATTAATTCTAACACTATCAAAAAGTACAAATGCTTCTACAATCAATTTTTCTTGGCGCCCGTTCGATAAAATTTTGCTGAATTTTCAATTGATCAAATTTCAATTTTAATGTCTTATTTCATGAAACTCGTAATTTTTATTAGTTTTTCAATAACACATTTCACCAACTTCTATCAAAATTTGCTTTTTTTTTTAAAAATAAAAATCAAAAGCCTTGTCAAACAACTCCCAAATACCTAAAATAACTTGTGACTATCAACATTTCGACGTTGATCTTTAAAATCAATCCCAAACGGGGCCTAAGCAAACTTAAATTTAGTAACCTAATTAAATTTTTGCTAGAAATTCTACAAGTCTGGATGAAATTGACTAATTGAAATTTTCCTCAAAGTTCTTATCAATTATAAGGGCTCATCTGTATCTGTACATATTTTGTTATATCATTCATCAAAAGAAGAGATGTAATTTTAGTTTCTAAGAAGATGTTATTTAAATTGTAAATATGCCCTATTTGAACCCTATTTTTCAAAATTTATTTTTTCTCAAACTAATTTTCAATCATACATTCTTTCGATAAAGTAACTTTATACACAAATTCAAAACATTTTTCTATTGTTTAAGAACACATTCTCAAAAAATAATCACTTTTTACAAAATTATTTTTTAGAAAAAAAAACTCAAACAGGGACTAGCCACGAGCCGAAACTCGAAGCTCAGGCTCGGCTCGAGTAAAAATGATTTGGGTTTTTTTGGCCCGAGCTTTGCAAAAGCTTGACCAAAAAATTTAGGCTCGACCCGAGCTTTCGGCTAGGGGTGTCCAAAAATCCCGAACCGAACCGAATCGAGCGGTTCTTCATAAATTAAATACCCGAACGGNGTGTCCAAAAATCCCGAACCGAATCGAATCGAGCGGTTCTTCATAAATTAAATACCCGAACGGGTACCCGAATCGAGAACCGATGGGTTTGGGTCGGGTTTCGGGTCTAGACCAAGAACCGAAGAACTGAATAAGAACCGAAACTAAATAATTTTTTTATTTTTTATATTGAATTAATTAAATTATTATTATTTTTTTAACAAATTAGCAAGTTAACTAAATAAATCAGATTATTTCCGTATTTTAAGTTTAAAGCTCAAATTATTTTTAAAATCCATTAGCCCATTTTAATTTGAAGCAAATGAATATACTTTATGTAGTTTTGCTGTAATATTAATATCTACTTTTTGGTATTTGTATGCATTGAATTAAACTTATTGGATGGCTAATCATGTATATGTTTTTGAATTGGGCTACGTTAATTTGTAAAAGTTACGAATGAAATGTCATTAGTTGTATTTATATAGTATTACTGTAAATATTAAAAAATTTAATTATGATACGGAATCGAACGGAACGGAACCGACCCGAATCGAACTGAACCGAACGGAACCGAACCCGAACGGTTCCATAATTATATTTGGACCCGACGGGTCCATTTATTAAATACCCGAAAGTTTTGGGTCGGTTCGGGTCTCTTCATAATCGAATCGAACCGACCCACGGACAGCCCTACTTTCGGCTCGAGCCTTAGCTAGCCGAGTTGACTCATTTTTTTTTAATTCCTTATAAATTTAAATTTTTTAATGAATTTATAATTCGTGCAATTTATACGTATTATGAATAATAAAAAAATATTAACATATAAAAAAATACACCTAAAATTAAAAAAATTATTTAAAAAAATAAAAATAAAAACAACTGCATGTGTTGTGACAGCAGTTGCCTACGCATTGCATGCAGCTGTAATTTTAGCTGCCTGTATTTTTTATTTTATTAATTTATTTTTTGAAGACTCGAATTGGCTCGTCACTGGCAGAAAATGGTCCGTGACACTGGTCGATGACGAGTCACGGGCTAACTCGGGTACAAGCTGACACCCCAGAATGGGACTCGGTCTCATCGAGCCACAAGCCGGTCCGGCTGTGACGTTTTTCGTGCCGAGCCACGAGCCGTCGAACTATATTGACATCCCTAGACTATATTGTGAATAATTTAAAAATTTCCCTCGATAGAGTAAAAGCTTGTCCACTTTGCAAAATTGGAAAACTGCAACCTTTTTTCCGCTTAAAAAACACAACCGAAAATCACGTGCAAAGACAGTGCGAATTCCTAGCATCTAATAATTCAGTGGTGAGGTCAACTCTTTTGCCCTATTTGAATAAGGACTAAAGAGATCAAATAGAGATTGTAGGGGTTAATTACCCCAATACTCACTAAACTTTACCGAAAGTTTTCATTAGGTCACTGAACTTTAAAAACTATGTGGTTAATCACTGAATTTCGAAATTGCAAAGTTTGGTGACCCAGTAGAAATTTTTTGTAAAGTTCAGTGATGAATGAAGTGATTTTTAAAGTTCAGTGATGGATATGGGGTTGCCGTTCCGAAAGTTCAGTGACTAACTACGTAGTTTTTATAGTTCAGTGACTAACCACGTAATTTTTAAAGTTCAGTGACCTAGTGAAAACTTTCGGTAAAGTTCAGTGACTATTGGGGTAATTAACCCTGGATTATGATGAACCCTCGATAACATTGACCGATGGATTCTTGGTCAATAATACTGCCAATAAGTTCTTTGTCGTTGGCTGTGCTACTTACGCTCTTGTATCTGGGTGGCGGGGGAACCGGAATTACTCGACAGGGTGCTATTCCACGTGCAACGACAAGGATGATCTAGTCGACGGCTCATGTTTTGGTTTAGGCTGTTGCCATATGTCTATCCCGAAACAGGCATGGAAAGTTGAGGTGACATTGAATAGCTATCATAATTTGACAACTGTGTGGGACTTCAATAACTGCAGCTATGGTTTTCTAGCTGAAGAAAGTGCATTCACTTTCTCCGCAAGTAGTCTTTCCAACCTGAGGAATGTGAAAGAGCTTCCAATGGTGGTTGACTGGACAGTTGGAGAAGAAACTTGTGAGGAGGCTCGAAATAACGTTTCTAGTTATGCATGTAAAAGTGAGAAGTCCAAGTGTTATGAACGCGATAATGGTTATGGGTATCGTTGTCGTTGCCAGGACGGTTATGAAGGAAATCCATACCTTGATGATGGCTGTAAAGGTATGGCTATATTATCTTAAAAGTACATAAATGATCTAGCACCATATTGTTCACTATATAATAAACAATATTTTAACTTTGTTTTTCCTTCTTATTATTCTTATATTTGTTATGCAGACATTGATGAATGTAAGGATCAAAGTCTCAATAAATGTGAAAAGAAATGTGAGAACACACCAGGGCGGTTTAAGTGTGTTTGCCCGAAAGGCTACCATGGAGATGGTAAAAAAGATGGACAAGGTTGCATGCGTGGTCAATTACTTGTCTTCAAAGTTGCTACAGGTTATTAGCCCCCACTATTCCATGGGTGTAGATAAGTAATTCTAATTTTCTTACCCAACCCACCCACTAGTCGTTGGGCTGACCTTTAATTTCCTCGTTACCAGATGTTACTGAAGGAGTAATTGCTTTTAATATTTGTTTAACAAAAGGAGTGTGGTAATGAAGCTAACGTAAAAATTTACATTACAGGGATTTCTCTAGGAATCACTCTTATTGTGCTTGCTATCTGGTGGTTATGCTCCGTACTCCAGGAAAAAAAGTTGGTCAAGATGAAGCGCACATTCTTTCTTCGAAATGGTGGACAATTGTTGCAAGAAAAACTCACCCGAAGAGAACAGTCGCCAGATGGAGCAGAACTATTCACTTCTACTGAGCTCAAGAAGGCAACAAATGACTTCCATGATAGTAGAATTGTTGGTCAAGGAGGCTTTGGCACTGTATACAAAGGCTTCTTATCAGATAACAGAATAGTTGCCATAAAAAGGTCCAAAGAAGTTGATCCAAACCAAGTAGAGCAATTTATNGCCATAAAAAGGTCCAAAGAAGTTGATCCAAACCAAGTAGAGCAATTTATCAATGAAGTGATTGTTCTTTCCCAGATCAATCACAGGAATGTTGTCAAGCTCCTTGGTTGTTGTTTAGAAACACAAGCTCCTCTGTTAGTTTACGAATTCATCAACAATGGTACCCTCTTCGAACACATACACAGCAAAGCAAAGGCGCGCTCTTTTTCTTGGGATATGCGGTTAAGAGTAGCTGCAGAGGCTGCTGGAGTGCTTGCGTATCTGCACTCAGCGGCTTCTCCTCCAATCATACACAGAGATGTCAAATCAGCAAATAT